ATCCAGGCCAAAGGCTGTGATCTGAGTCCTGCTGATGCTCTAATGTCTGCCCCTGCTCAGATCTCTTTATTAACTCCTCTCACCCCTCCAATAATAAATGGAAATTACATGTTTCTTTCAAGTCCACCTACCCACTCCTTTCAGGAAAAGCCATTTGTTCCCATGCACCTGGAGCTAATTCTCACTTCCTGCATCTTATCCACTGAACCAACCCTCTGCCCGGCTGCCTCCTCCCAGACCCCCCTAGATGTCATTTTACCCCTTCTGGAGGTCTGAGCTGGTGTGTTTGGGGGCTTGCCCAAAATGAAAGAATTCGAGCATTGAGTTCTCCATGGTATGGTATTGCTGAGTATTGTTTCAGACACCTAAAGACATGAGTGCAAGCGTTTGAGTGTGGCACCTAGCCAAGCATAGTTGTTTCAAGAAAAGTCAATAATGCGTATTACAAACATGTTTTGGTGACCAAACACAGCCTCCCAGCTATAGGTCTCCCCTAGAAAAGTGAGGCAATTATCTCAATCAGTCAAGTGAAAAGGTCTATTTATGCTTCAATTCTCCGGCTAATTCAGGCAAAAGTAAAATTTTCATCTGAATGATCTCAGTAATTGGCTTGCTGCTTCGCTTTACCAGTGAGAACTTGACAAAGAAGCAGGGTACTGACAGGGTGGTGGTAATCATAGGGAACTTGGGCATAGAAAACATCTATGAGAAAGTACATTACTGGAGATTTTGTTGGGAAATTCCAACAAAGATAGCTCCTAACCGTAGGGATGGTAAATATATCTATTCATTTTTTTAAAGTTTATTTATTTATTTTAAGAGAGATAGAGACAGCACAAGTGGGGGAGAGGCAGAGAGAAATGGAGAGAGAGAATCCCAAGCAGCTGGAAGCGAGGCTCAAACTCAGGAAACTGAGATCACACCCTGAGCTGAAACCAAGAGTTGGATGCTTAACACACTGAGCTACCCAGGCTCACTTGTGTGTTCGTTTTTTAAATCTAAGTTCAGATTTTATATTGACATTGATCTCTTAACTGCTACATGTCTTCTTTTCCTTCTTCTTCTTCTTCTTCTTCTTCTTCTTCTTCTTCGTGATGGGCATGGAGATTTACCACCCAAATTCATATCAGGGCTGACTTATCTCTCTTTTGGGGATGACCTTAGCTGCAGAGAGATGTCTTGCTCAAAAGCACGCCCTACCTGAGGTACTCACATCCAATGACTGATCATGGCAGGGACATAAAGATCTAACATTTTGGGCTCATTACAGAACAACTCCAGTGAGCGATATTGGTTCCAGAGCTCCCTGTGAGTTGGGCTGAGGCTTTGTCAGACCTGCGTCACCGTTCAACATATCCTTCTATTCAATTGCTTTTCATCCTTGCTCCCACAGGTGTTCATACCTAATAAATATCCTCCATGTCAATCTCCATTTTAGAGTCAGCTTCTAGAAAACTCAATCTGACATTTGGTACCAGGAATGGTCAAAAAAATCAGTTAATAAGATGGAGTTTTGGAGTTGCACTTACCCCTTGGCTGGTAATGTGGATTCCTTAACTGATGCTACATAGAGCATAGACATTTCCTGACCTAAAGTAGTAGGCCAATGGGGATGACAGAATGTAAAACAATAGAGGATAGGTGGTGACAGATAAGTGCTAAAAGCAAGGAGGATGCAATTATCATAATGAGCAACAGAGTTAGACTAGCAGCCGAGGGATCCTGACCCACAGAGAGTTATGGAAACAGTTAATAGAAATTGGTATACCTACAAAGTCGATGGGCAACCAACAGGGGATCTTTTCCGTTTATATCAAGGTATAGCTTCCTTCCACAGGGTGAAAGCGGAAGTGGACCCATTTAACATGACCCGTTGGGGAAAACTGCGCTTTCTACCCTACCATTCTATAGAGTCTGCCAGATTGAAGATCCTGTTCTCAGGGCACACTTCTATTAGGGGGCTAAAGATTCTCATAGTACTTAAGCTCCTGTTGCTGCCTGGGCATTTTGGACAGGGAGAAGAATCACCGACTTGGTAGAGGTAACTGACCTTGATCATCAGGAGGAGGTAGGGAAGATGTTCTACAATGGGAACCAGAAGGAATAACCATTTAGATGCCTCTTGGGTCTGGGTCATACCACTAGGTAAGCCACCGAGACCAGAAGAAGTGGTTGCTGAAGCTGAAGAGAATGTAGAATTTATAGTGAAAGATGGAGATGATGAGTATCAGTTCTGGTACTAAGACCGGCTAGAGTGGCAGGGCCTGTAGTTTATTCCACTAACCAAACTCTTCTAAGTTTTCCAGAATCCTGGAAGACCTGCTTACTGAAGTTTAAATGAAGCAGTGGATCTGAGGGATGGAATGTGGAAGACATAGAGCTATGCCAGCTTCAAGGGTTTCTCTTCAAAGAAGGACTTTCCCAGCTTCTGAGAGTGCTCCTCTACTATAGAGTGCCAAGTCACCCCAGAGCACACCCTTTCTGGGGTGGACTATACCCAGTGACTGATTGCAACTCTCTGTAACGGTCCAGTCATTTTCAGCCCACCAGGCTCATAGGAACCACTTATGCTCTGTAGCAACCCAGTGAGGGTAGCCGGGCTGGGGCTTTGTTGGGTCTGCATCATAGCTTGATTTCTCCCTCTTCCTGATCTGCTTCCTGCCCCTAGCTTCCACAAGTATTGCTCCCTAATAAACACATGGCTTGCTAACCTCCATCTCAGCATCCATTTCTGGAGAACACAACCTGCAACACCTCTGAAATGTTCCGTCCTCTCCATCATACTCTTTTTCCTCTATATATACAGGTTTCCCCCACTCTCTGAAAGTTCTATGTCATTTCTGTGAAAGACCTATACTAGTATCTGTTTTTGATAACCAAGAGAACTCTGAAGAGGTACAATTACTTCTTCATGTCCTGCCATTCCAGCTTATGAAAGGTTTCATGGGAATGTTCTACTTTCAGATAGCAGGGGAAACCTGTATTCTCCTCTAAACAAACACTCATTCACCAATCTTATATCTTTATTTAAGCTCTGGACTCCTATTTCCTTCTGTCATTTGTTACGTTCATTAAGTATTCCAGGATCAATGCAACGTCCAAGATGAACACGTCTTCCTTCTTGCTAACTTCTGTAAATGATATATCTATGCTCTTAGATCTTTTCCGCTACTTCACCTACAGTATTTAAACTCATAATCTTGTTGTTACTCTTACTCTCTCACACCTAAATAGGCTTTGAAATAACTGACCTTTTCTTCGCCATAATCACCAAACTTCTATACTCGTTTGTCTAGAGGGACCCTGTCTGTCTTGTGCACCATTGCTCCCTCATTCTCTAGCACTGGGTTCTAGACAGAGTAGGTCCTCAACAACTATTTTTTAAAGAATAGTAACTGCAACCACTACAGAGATTTTTACTCTGGCATTCCCATCTTCCCAAAGCAACTATATACTGCAACCACTCTGATTCCATGATGTTTTTAGATTTTCTTATTTCCCTAAGGATACAAGTCAGATTCTTTGGACTGGTCCTTAGAGCTTTGCAGTATCTGAATTGATTCTCATCTGATTGCTCATTTGTTCCAAAGGTAAATCGTCTGTTCTTAGCAATGTCCCTCTGCTCAGCACAGAAGGGGGTGACTTGGTCCTGACTCAGACTGAACCATAAAGTAGAATCTGGAATGTCTCTTACAGGCTTAAATCTTCCCTCCCCTTGAATCTAACTCCTTCTCCTCTCTTTCAGCCAGCCATCTTCCCCTCATCCGAACTCTTATAAATGCACCCTTCATTATTGTACTGCAAATATATCAGGAAACATTTTAAGTATCTATTGTGTTCCAGGCACTAAACTGAAAGCCAAAGATACGGCGAGTAGAGACAAATTTTCTGTTCTCAAGGAGTCCTGTAGAGGGAGTAGGTACATAAATGAGTGCAGTGGGACTTGAAAGGAAATGTCTGCATTGGGTATAAAATAGCAGGTAATCCAGTCTCAGAATCAACAGAAAGGAAGACACATTTGAGTTTTCTCTTGAAAAACAAGCAGACGGTCATTAGAATTATGCTGTCAGGATAGGGCTGTGGGGTGTATGTTCTGGACAAAAAGGGCGTGCTGAACAGAGGCAGTGGTGAAAAACGGAGTAGCAGACAAGGTCTAAGCAGTCTGTCTTGTGGGCAGAGGAAGGGTTGAGAAGCAAAGAGAGTCTGATGGGGGTACCTGGTGGCTCAGTCAGTTAAGCAGCCAACCCGATTTCGGCCCAGGTCATGAGCTCAAGCCCCGCACTGTTAGTGCGGAGACTGCTCAGGATCCTCTCTCTCCTCTCTCTCTCTGCCCCTCCCCTGCTCACATTTTCTTTTTTGTTCTCTCTCTCTCAAAATAAATGAACAGGCAATAAAGAGAGAGAGAATTTGATGAGCAAAAAGGGTGGAAACGCTTGTTGTACCCAGATTTCAGGCGACCTTGTGTTCACAGAGAGTTTGGATTTTATCTGGTGGCAGTGAGGAAGGACGGTCACAGGAGATACTTTAAGTAAGGGAGCAACACGATCAAATTTGAGCTTGTATGATGTTCATACAATCACGTATTATTATTTCACTTCCAAAAATATAAATCTAGTGTCCAGAAGTAAGAAAACAAGCTGTTTGAGGACTGTGACTTGCATACAATAGACAAGGAAGGTTCCATTTTCTCTTCGTTCTATTGCCAATAGAAGGTTACCTTAATTCAGCATTACCAAACAGGTAGCATTTATATGCACCTATATGTACACAAATAGCCTAAACACCAAATCAGACAGATTCTGCTTTAAGCAAAGTGAAACAAAACTACTACAAACAGGTATATTACAGGATACTACTTACAGGAGACTGGGTTTGTCTTTGTCAAAACATCCTCCCAAATTTCATTTGTTTACACATCATTACTTGATGAAGAAGCTGAATAGTTGAGGAAAAATGTGTGTCTCCACTTAGGGATCAATCAAGTAAAAAGTTAACACATCTTTGAGATGATAATAATGTAATAGGCCATTCACAGGAACTGGTTTCACACAACCTTCAAGACTGTATCTGTTACACAGAGGGAGGTATTATGTGTTTTGTGACAGCTCAGTATGAAAGAACAAAGGGCTTACATGACATGTAAAAGAATGCAACAGTAGATACAACTTAGAAACCGGTTTTACTCTGCTGCAAACAAATGGACAAGATATTGTACAATATATAATAAAAAGTACAGCATAATACAAGTGCCACTAATAAAAGAAACTTAAGGATAAGACTTAAAAATGCTTATTTGTGATATATATATATATATATACACACTGCAATAAAAAGCCACAATAAATACACGAATTTCCATGTCATTCATAATAAATACTGAAAATATAAATACAGAAGACTACATCTAATATGAATAAATTATTACAACATAAGGTCCAGGTTAAGTTCTGTTGAATATTATTGTAGCTTATTTAATATACCCTTTGGCATCTTTGATGTTATAACTTATACACAAGAGAAATCAATCTAGAAACTGTGTGACACACAATATGACGTTTTAGTGTAAAGTGATTGTATGTATGAACTGTTTGATTTTTTTTCCCTTTCAACCTTTCTAAGTGATTAAATTGGACATAACAGTAATAAAATGTCTATTGAAATACTGTTGAAGTTGAGTAAGAGTCGTAACAGAAATCAACTAAAAGATAAAACCAATCACAATGTCAAAAAATATGTTACAGTGAGTTTACCTCACTGAGTTTTTAAATTGTTTTTTTGTCAGCAAAAAAAAACCCAAAAAAACAAACCAAACCAAAAAACACTCTCAAAAGACTTCCCTTGTGTAAAGACCATTCCCAATGTCCGAATGGTTCAACACAGACTGAAGGATAACACTCAAGTCCTTTGGATTATTTGATCTACCATTACATTCAGCTCACTCGATTTCACCAGAATTTGCAAATGTTCCAAATTTCTATGGCAGCTGGAAAGTGGAGACACAGTTGACATCTACGACTATGATCAAGTTAAAGATACTGCAAAAGGTGCCATTTGTCTACGCAACCAATCATACATATATATTTTAAATGGGGAAAATGCATTTTTGACCAATGTCAAATGACCTTTTCCTATCAAATTGATATACCCTGTGACACTGAGGGAAACACATTGAAATAACAAAGTGCCATTTTCTGCATTAACAGGCATTAACCAGTACATATGTATTAATAGTTCTATCTTAAGAGGCTATTACACCAGAAATGCAATAAACTAAAATGAAAGCAGATCAACTTTACTAAGACACAATAAAGGCGGAGGTTCTTAGGAACAGAGTTGTAATCTACAGGTTTTTAATTTTTTAAACTATGTCTGTACTGTAAATGTCTAGCATTTATTTTACATCAAACACCTTTGAAACATGTTTCACAAACTACGCCTCAGACTTATTTCCATAGAGGTGTCTAGAGTCAATTAAAACATGGGCCAAATTATTCAACATTCTTTACATAAACATTCTATAGCTTTTTTTTTTTTAAAGCAAAAAGGGTTATTTCCCCTAGTAGTATTTGTGGGGAACAACCACACTGATGTGGCTGTCATTTCACAAGAGCATCCGAGTTGGGGAGATAAGCAGCTGTATCTGGATTGAAAAAAATCCCATGGAGAAAAGAAACATTGGTTTCAGGAGTGCTCCTCATCTTCCAGTTAGTTCTGACTCTGAGTTGGAAACAACTCTGAGCAAACAGAAGATGCTCTGAAAGCTGCAGTGCTTGGGTGCTTGGGTCAAGTGATGTAATCAGGAAAAAAAAAAAAACAAAAAAACACCCTCCTCCCAGACTCCTCCCTTCGATTTCAGGCCTTGTCAAGGTGACAAATTTTTAATTCAGAATTCTGCTGATCCCTGAGAAGGCAGGCAACTATTGTTTAAATAGCACGGGGACAAAGGCTGGGATCAAATGGTGGCTGAGTAATTCTCTGGAGGCATTTTATTCCACAACAGACTCTCCAAAACTAGTCACATCTTCCCCAGAAGGAGTGGAAAAGCTTGAGATTCTCATTTGTCATTTTAGGGTAAAGAAAGATTAACAAGAAGGTACTTATTTAGAAGCGAAAAGGTAGAAAATGCTCACTTATGTAATTGTAACTTCTCAGAAAATTAAGCAAGTCAAGTCATTTGGTCCTAACTCTGATGTCTGTCACTGGGGATCTGAAATAGTCATTTTCTTGACATTACGTCCTGACATTACAGCAATGGTGAACACAGATAAAATAAAAATGAAAAACAATGACTGTCATATTTGTTGGAGGCAGGTTATATTATTGAGCATTGTCTCAATACTCATATGTGTAGTTTTTAAAAATCTGATTTCTTAGGAGACTTATGGAGTCATCAAATACAATAATCATCAAAGTAAGGGGAAACCCAAGTCCTTGGAGTCTGCCAGTACAATGGCCCAAATCACCACAACTGTTGCCAGGTGCCTAGCCCACAAAGACTGGCCAAGATATTTTCTTATTGTGAGAAAAACCTAAGAGAACTGGATTGTGTTGCCAAGGAAACCGCTTTCCCTAGAGATGTTAAGAATAGATGGGTATCTATCCTGTTGGGCATGCCTGAATGACAGTCCTCCCTGGAGAGAGATGGATGAGCCAGATGACCTCAGGAGATCTCTTCTAGTCTCAGGACTATAAAATTTGAAGAATACACAAGAATCTCAAACTTTTCATTATTCAGACGCAGTTGGCCATTGTGAGTATCCTTGAAAAGATTAAACTAGTCTAAGATACCCATTTAGCATGACTAGTACCTAATGAATCAAGATTCAGACCATAACCTTTGGCAGTGGAGGCTATTTGATTATGGTACAAAAGAATTCACTGTGCCAACTACTAAAATGTAAAATCTATCAAGTTCAGATATTATTTGGGTATCATTACATCATCCGAGGATCAACACTTAATTAAAAAAATAATAACCTCAGGCAATTCATTTCTTAGGTTTTGATATTTAGGTTTTCCTTCTTTAGGGGAATTCAGATTTTGATTTTATTTTATTCCTTCTTTTTCTTTTATATTTAAATAAAATTTCAAAGTGGCATATAGATCTTTGAATTTGTTTTAAAGATGGGTGGCTATCTTTGCAGCTAAGAAGAAAAGTTTGGTGACCGACATAAAAAGGAGAAGCAAAACAAAATTGGATAAATTATGTTAAAGTTGAAAAATTCTATCTAGTTTTTAATAGGTTTCCCATGTAGAGACAACAGCAAAACCATTTTTGGTGGCCACATCCCTGACAAGGGTGTTTGTGGTCTTACCTAGCATGGCAGTTAGACTTGATAAAGATCTCTGGTGACAGAAGCTCCTGGATAATTTTTAAAGAGATATTTTCTAAATCAGTTTCCTTCCAAATACTCATTGATAAATAACTTTTAAGATCCTCCCAAGTCAGATAAAAAGATTAGGAGAAAGCCAAAAGCAGAAGGAAAGGGATAGCTAACAAAAAAGTTATTCCAAAATTATAACTAGAAGCATTCAATCAGGTCACATAAATTAACTTAGACACAGGCAAGGAAAATTTCTGCCATAAATTTGTCTTTTCCTAAATCCTTTGAATCAATATACATTATCTTAGAATATTTAAATGGCCTCATGCATGTCACTAAAATGAGAGTTATTGAACTGGTTTGATTATCACTATGGTAGTGAGTAATCCAAAGAAAGGAATGACATCATTTGCACATTCAACGCAAATATTGTCCAAAATAAATTCTGTCATATTCTCTTGAAACTTTAGTTCTGCCAGAAACTTATGAGATAAAATAAAATGACACACTAGAGTTGGCTTTTCTTAAATTATAAGCAAGTATAAAGTATCAAAGAAGAGACAATTTTACCCTGTATATATTTATCACGAGTGAAAGAGTCAACGATATGACTTAAATTTTTGAAATTACTTCATTTTCCATGAAAGCTACATGTACCTGTATTTACTAAAACTCCAGGCTATATGTTAGACTACAGTAATTGCAAATAAAGAATGAACTGTTTTAGGCTTTGAATCTGATCGTATTCACCTTCCTGCTTCCAATCATTCTGTCTGAATTACCACCGTCAGGCAGCGCCAAGTTAGATAGACTGACCCCAAGACCACTCACCAGGCAAAACCCAGGTCATACCAACTTTTGAATTTGAATTTCTGATAAGAAAGAAAACAAACGAACCCCCTCCCCCACTTTCACTGGTTGGTTGGAAGGGGGTCTCACGGTCTAGTATGAAAGCTGAGAGGAGTTGAAGCGAAACTTAGAAGTGACTATTTTAAAAAGTCACATTAAATATGCAGATTTGACAGGTAAAATATGAAAGAGCTCTTTTATTTCCATATTCATCACTTTTGACAATAGTCTGTCAGTCATTTTAATATAAAATGTGTCTAAATCTTAAAAATAGTTTCTTTAGCATATCACAGCTCGGTGCTTTTATTTTTTAAAGCAAGCATCAAATGATTTTTAGATAGGAAGACGTAATCGATGAGGTTGGTGGACAGCCCACATGAACACCAACTGGCCTCTGAGTTTCCACATTGTCACTGTCCCTTCTAGGTTTCAGGCTGCCATCTGCCATCTAGTTTTCTGGTTAAAATTCTAGCTGTTCAGCCTTGCTGAAACTTTATGGTTCCTGGGAGACACTACCACTTATTTATTATGCTTATATTCCATTCTCATCCCGCCCTGACACTTTCATAATTTTAGTGGGCTTTTAAATTGCTGATATTCAGTTAAATTAAGTCAATTAAATTCTTTAATGGTACAGAAAACATCTGTTGAGCAGTGGTATTTGTGCAAAGCTGTGGTATTTGGCTTAGGCATATGAGTTACTTGAGCACAAGTTAGCAGATCTCAGAAAGAATAATGTAATCAGAAGTTGCAAATTTGTGTTAGAACTAAGAGTGATTAAGGCTTTAAACTTTCCATGTTGGTTGTGGTAAGAATACATAGTTCTGGTTTCAAATTACAGTCAAGTCTTGCCTTTGAAAGCAAGAAGGTACTTCCCACTCAAGGTTGGTATTTTATACACTGACTACAGTAATGACTCTTCTGTGAGAGAATAAGGAACAGATGTCGTTTTTAGTCATATTTGGAGAAATGGACGGCTTCATGGTACCTTTTTGAAAAGTAGTCTCTGACTTCTGAGAATGTCCACTTTCCACCTGCTGGCGGTGGTTTTGTAACCCCAGCTACAAGTGAGGTGGGTTGAATGACCTCTCTTTTCTACAGGCTATATAAGGCAATGCCTTTGGAATTTGGAACTGTGGTTTTGCTAATTTTTTAAGCTGTATATAAATAGAAGTAAAAGTGATTGTGTTCCACATCATTGTCTCAAAGTTTTCCTGAAATGTTTCCTGGTTTATGTATGAGTCAACCAGCTCTTGAAACTATCTGGTAGGAGTTTGCTAGTATAAATTTAGCCTCACTTATAGAGACCTAACACTGAAGAAGCAATTAGCTGAAAATCTCTTTTTCATTTGATTCAGTTCTTCTAGCTGAGTCTATTTAATTCAGAAATTTCAGATAGGGGAAGAGGAAAAAAGATCATCCAGTGAGTTGCATTAATTTAGGAAAAAGAAGTATCCTTTTAGTTACAGTTTGCACACAATGAGACAAGAATTGATTTCACTTTTTCTAAGATCACATTATAAAAGCACAGATTAAAAGAATTACAGTGAGGCTTGATTATTTCATGCCACTCCTCTTCGTCATCATGATCTCTTAGAATGTGGAGTGTTTTACCTCTTTTTACCACTTAGAACACTTCTTCTAACAGTCAGCATTCTATAAATATTTGTTGAAAGACAGAGTTGATACTTAGTAAATTCTAAGTATTAAGACCAAAGGATTATAAATTTGTGCAATATCAGAAGTTTAATCAAAGAGCCAATGATGTATCAAACTTATAGGGAATAAATCATGATGTATTTTCCTGTTTAATGATAACCCAACCAGAATTTTGCCTACAAGTCACCTGTTAGAGTGCAAAAATATAAAAGAACCACTTATCATCTCTTTGCTTCTTGATTGTTTTGTGGCCAATGTTTCTATAACTCCTAGTTTTTTTTTTGGGGGGGAAGGGTTATTGCTGGGCCATATATGTTTGTGAAGATCTTATGACTCTAATAAATATTAATTTCACATTTCATATGTGGCTGGAGCACTGGGAAAATATAGTTTTATCACAAAGAAAAGACTAATTTTTGAAAAGTATCTATTATTACCCAACTAACAAAAGACACAAACAAATTTTACTTATGTCTTAATAATCAAGGACTAAGGGATGGGGGGTGGGGAATTTAGGTTAATCTCTTTCAGTGATTCTTTCTCCCAAAGGAAACCTAGGATGACAAAGGAAATGCAAGCTGCTCCAGCCACTTGATTTGCACATCAATCTGGCCAGGATTATAACTGGGATTTAAGCCCTAATAAAAAGTATAGGGCTGATGCTAAAACAACAGGACCAAAGCACGAAGCTTTGCCATTGGCAGGGAACAACTAAAAAGCTGTGTGTCCAAAAAAAAAAAAAAAGACAATAATTTGGTTAGATATACTACGGGGGAAATACAACAGCTGAAGGTCAGGTGTCATTGTGTCTTCGTATAAAGATCTTAAGCATCCCAACTGGCTGCATCTAGCTTGATCCCCATTTTAAAAAGCTTAGAAAAAACGGCAGCGCTCTCCTGGCATGTGGGCAGTTTTTGTTGAATAGAAGGGCTATTAATGGAAAAAAAAAGTCAGATGGAACACTGTGCTCTCTCAGCTTTTCTGGGAAAGGAAGTAACAATGAAACGATTCCATCATTAGTATTATACGCAACTTTGACCCAACATTTTCAAACTATAGCTTTACAAATCATCCTCTTTTCTAGACCTTATTTTTAGATCATAAAACCCAATCAGATTCTAGGGTGGGAAAAGCATACAGTATTCATTACTGGCCATTGCCTAAAATCTCTCATTCTCCAGTGTGTGATATACATCTAGTGTGTGTTTGTGTGAGTGTGTGTATGTGCATGTGCATTTGTGTTATAAGGGAGTGTTTTAATAGGTAATTTGTGTATGTAGTTTGTGGGAGATGTTTAGGGGTTAGGTTATACATATATGTGAATCTGGAATGGAATTCATGCTTGGAAGGTTAATCCTTCTGTGCCCAGTGACTTTCAACCCCAATTGGAAAAAAAAGGGAGAGAGCTCTGATTTTTTTATTTGTCCGTTTCAAGGTTAAGCATCCTTTTGGAAATGTAGCTACAAAACAGAGACCTAGCCAAACATAAGCAAGTAGGCGTCGACCTTCCAGTGAATATAAAGCTGGACTAAATTAAATATCTATCCTTTCAGAAACTGGATTGACATTCTACCCTTCACCTTTGCCCCACCCAGAGTCGCTTTTTCCCCATTCCGCCACAGTCTGTGTTCCAAGAAGCTGACTGCTTCACGGGTAAATCCTTCGAGGGCTTGTAGGGTCCAGCAAATACAGCACATGTGATTTTTTTTTTTTTTCACATGCCTGCATGAAGAACAATAGCCTTTTGTCATTTTTCTTTGGGCCGGTGCTCTTTAGATTGTATTGGTAAAGGAAACAATTTTGGAAATCAAGCACTAAAAAGTGTAACTTTGTAGACAACAGGAGATACACTACCGAGATCGGAGCTAAACCCAAACTGATTAGCCCAAAGGGCTTATCATTCAAAAGGAACATCCCTGACCTCATCACTGCTACTTTCGTAGGGACAAACCCAAAGTTCCTTTAATGTTAGTATGAACGGTTATAAATTTGGCCCTGTGCTGGGGGAGAAAAAGGGCAGGAGCCAACTGCACATTGGAAGAGCTACCAAGTAAACATGTTTTCCCCAAATCAAGTTTTAGTAGAAACTTTTCCATTGGAGGACTTTCTCTAGATCAAACATTTTTAAGTTCAATGAAATAAAATAGTAATTTTTAAGGAATCGAGATCTACAATATATTTATATCCCTATTTCTAAACATCTAAATCTAAAAGACATAAGAATTAGCGATGCAGTCACTGAATAGCAAGGCATGTCCACATTTCAAAGAGGCAGAAAATGTGAAACGGTGTAACAACAGAAGGTCAAAAATATGAAACGGATTTAGCATAGTCATATTGCATTGGGAAAAAAAAAAGGTAGAACACACTAGTTAGTTACCTAAATTAATGTACAGGAAAACGGGATCTTAGAAGTCCTCCGACGAACCAAGTGCAGATAACCTAAAGGTGGGGAGTGCATGTTTTATTTCTATCTGTCCCCTTTAATAAGAGAACGTGAGGTAATTAGGAAGTATTCAATGCATTCTGGACTGTTCTGCTAATTGTCCCAGGCAAGAGAAATCAAAATGCTTCAGAAAAGTAAGGCCTAGTTGAGTATTTGGGTCGAGGCCCCCCCTTCAATCGGCTAGTCACTAAAAGGAAATCTCCTTACATACTCATTTTGTAGAGATGGATTGATCACGCTGTAGAAAAGGCTGGTTGCTGAGGATGCGTCTCTTCCATGCTTCCTCTGCCTCCTCTGCTTTTACCGAGTTAGGTCTTCAGAGTGGCGAAGGAAAATAGGTCATTTTCCCTTCATAAAGTTAGCATTGGATGATTCCTCTAGATTAATTCTATGAACCTTATAATAGTTACAGATTAAAAAATTTTTTTTTCTAAATTTTTCATCTCAAAGAGTTCTCAGTCCCCACCCCTCACAAGGTACCATGAAGGGGCACTAAAGTGCATTTTGATGTAGGGGAGTAGAGTTTAAAGGTGCTGTGTCCAAGCTAAGAACCAAGATGATGCTGTTTTAAAAAGAAAGGCAATTCCTTCTACCTCCATCTCTGGAGTCAACTGAGGGAGGGCAGTGAACTAGACCCTCACCGGAGGATTGTCCTAACTCTTAACTTTAGAGAAAACTGTGTAAGGACCTGCACATATAGACTCATTTATTTGTCCAAAATAGCAAAAATAGGCCTATTTCACCCTTAAGAAAGTATTTGCAAATCTGATCAGTCATGATCATAAAAACGTGAATGGATTCCAGATGCGATCCATGTGGGCATGCTCAGTGGTGCTAACTATGCATCTTCAGCTTAAAAGAACATGCTGCTGTTCAGTTTCATCAAAACATGACTCCTAACTACCATAAATAAAATACACATGGAACGATTAACTCTTTTTCTTACAGTAATTACTTTTACATTAAAAAGTCACCGTCATCTTCAGATTTATCGAAAATTAGGACTCTAAATCTTATTATTTCCCAGTCTTAGTCAACAATCTTGCACAGGCCCGATAATCCAGAACTTGAAGCTCTGATCTACACAGCTTGGCAGGTTTCACACAGTTTGACAGGTAGGCAACTGTGAGATATGCTTTTTTTTTTTTTTTTTAATTAGCATTTTCTATCAAAACAGTCTGAAATCTTTTAAAATCCTCATAGAGACTGTATTTGTGCAATGCCACAGGCGTGTGGCCGGAAAGGAGAAAACAAAATACAGTCTGGAAGATTCACCACAGTCCAGGTTTTCTTGGTCCTCAGTTTAAACAACCATGGGCCCAGGAAATCCAATTAAATACAGTGCTTTTAAATAAGAGAAGAGTTGGTCCTAGAATAATTTACGCTACTAAACAGGGACGGTCTCCACCACGGGTGATTTGATGCACTCTTCGTGCAATCTGCTTTTCTCCGCCAGGCTCAAAGAACTTTCAGCGGGGTGCTCGGCAATGTGACTGTCACCATTCAGTGTAGAGACAAACCCTTCCTGGGAGGGGCCTTTCAAGTACGAGTGAAATTCCACCTGGGGATGACTGGACCTGTGCTCGGGATACAAGCTACTGCAGGGCACGCCGCCGTCGCTCTCCGCAGAGGAGCAGCACACGATGACCGAGGGGTTGGTGGCGGGGTAGTGGGAGGGGCCGTAGGCCTCTTCCGCTTGCCGGGCATAGTCCACAAATTGCTCCGGGGTCATGGTGTAAGGCACCAGCGACAGGGTACCGTTCTTAACAGGATCTCTTTCGGCATAGCTGTCGGAGATCTGGTTAGGAGTTCCTGGAATGTGGCTGTCTATTTGGTAATACAGGGTCGACGAGTTGGCATAAAAAGAAGCGTTTTTCGCGTGGCTCTCGTGAACCGCCGTGCCGTCGGAATAGCAGAGGACGGAAGGAAGAGGCACGACTTCCGCATGGGTCCCCAAGCCTTCCACGAAGCTGTCCCCTTTCTCGTCGTCATCGTCGTCGTCGTCGTCGTCCTCCTCCTCTTCCTCCTCCTCCTCCTCCTCCTCGTCTGACTCGCTGGGGGCCAAGCTCTGTGTGCTGGAGTCGGTGACGCCGCTGCAGAAGCTGCTGCCGTCCTCCTCCTCCTCCTCCTCCTCTCCCTGGCAGTCTAGCTCCTCGGCCGACTGCAGGTGCAGCACTGCGGCCTGGGGCTCGGTTTCAATCTCAAAGTTGTCCGCGATGGAATACTCTACGGAGTGCGCGACGGGGCCCATGGAGCTACTGGGAGTGCTTATCTCACTGTGGCAGCCGTTCAGCGCGGGGATTTGCTGCTCTCGGTTTTTCTCCAGTTCAAGTTTCATTATTGTGTGCAAAAAGTGAGTCCGGACACGGATAGGATTAAATTCAATTCTACCTGCTGTGTTACTACATCCTTCTTTAGTGCAGCCACATGGGAAAGACATTCGATCCACCTTGGAAGGAAGAACACAGATTAGCCCCACGGAACTCTTACAAACCAAATAAAAATCCGGTACCTCCGGGCAACCCCTTCGAATCTGGGATTGCTTAATCCCACTTGTGCAGGAACCAATGACAATGAGACTGCAAAGAGACTTGGCAAAGGGGAAGTGAAGACTTCAAAAGTAACAGTTAACCTATAGCTTTAAAACCTATATTCAAGATACAAATGTGCTATGGCTGTTTAAGTGTGGAGTTTTAGTTCATTGACCCAGCCCGTGCTTCCTTCTTTCTCCATTCTCCCCTCCCCTCCTCCCCTCCCTTCTCTCCATCCTATTGTTTTTGCTCCCATTTTTTCCAAGTCCATTCTTTCCCCCAAGCTCCCTTCACTTCTACTGCATGCCGGCTCAAATGCCCAGTTTAAACTACACAAACTTACCCCCCTGCATCCCCACCTGCTCTTTTTAATCATCTAAATTATATGACATTTTCCATACTAGCCATCCCCCCCCCCCCTTTTGCTTATTATAAAATGAACTCTTTTGCCTGCGGTGTCCAGATTGACACCACTTAGTATCACGCAGCCTGATAATTCGTTCTCATTGGTTTTTCTTCTCATTTGTTTGGATCCTTGGTACATGGTGCACGAATGTGTACTGCAGGGCTGTGACAGTCACGCACATTTATGACTGTGACTAGTGGACCCATGCATTTAGGGCCTGGATTTCCCCCACTCCTCCCCACTCCAGTAGACTATAAGCTTCTTGAGGGAAAGGGATGTTCATGTAATCTATATCCCAGAATGAGAGACACTGGACCCTGCCGCCTAAGTGTTTGCGTTCAGCGAGCGTCACTGGACCGAGCTCGTCAGTCACGTGATAGGCGGAGTTATCAGCAATCCAAGGGCACTCCCAAGATATTACCAATTAACCTATGTGCAGATCAGAGCACAGGCACCCAGAAGAATTTGCCCTGCTTGCCCCTTCTCCAGGGGCAGGGAATCTCCTTTACTACAGAGGACAAGGCAGGCTCCAGCAGTCATCCTGGATTCAGTAAAAACTAGAGGCAGAGGTCAGAGCCAGATTCTATAGCTTTTTCTTACTCATGAATTTCTTTTCTATTAATCCACCTTAAGCAACTGTTGAGCTGATGACGACTATCCTCTCTTTTTGCCTGCCAGAGTGGCTGTTCTTATCAAAAAAGCCAAGTTTCCTCGTAAAATAAAGACAACTAACTAATCATGGCGCATCAATGGTATCGATGTATGGGAACTTGAGAATCTAGTCCAGGGGTTGGTAAAGTCTTCTTTTGCATCTTTTCTTTTCTTTTCTCTTCTTTTCTTTTCTTTTTTCTTTCCTTTCCTTTCCCTTTTCCTTTCCTTTCCTTCCTTCCCTCCCTTCCCTTCCTCTTTCCCTCCTTTCTTCCTTTCCTTTTTTCCTTTCTTGTCTCTTTCCTTCCTTCTTTCCTCCCTCCCTTCCTCTCTCTCCCATTCTTTCCCCCTTCCTTCCATTCTTTTCTTTCTCTTTCTTTCCTTCCTTCCTTTCTTCTTTCTTTCTTCTCTTTCTTTCTCTCTCTCTCTCTCCCTCTTTCTTTCTTTCTTTCTTTTTTTTTTTTTTTAATAAAGGGCGAGAATAAATTATCTTAGGCTTTGTGGGCCATAAAGTGTCTCTGGCAACTATTCACTGTTGCTGTAAAAACATGAAAACAGTCATGGACAACACCAAAACAAACAAAGAAACACAAAGTGACCAGGCTTCACTAAAATGTTACTTCTACAAACAGGTGTGGCAGGCCCGATTTGGCCTGTGAACTATAGTTTGCCAAACTCTGATCTAGTCCAGTCCTTTCACTTGAGACGAGGAAACCGAGCCCAGAAAGTTTACCTGACTTGGCAATTTCACAAAGCTGGCAAAAAGCAGAGCCAGGAGTAGAACTCTGTTTTCTTAAGTCCCAGTCTTGTAATTTTTCCACCAATATATGCCGCCTCTCACCTACCACCATTTGATACCCCATAGTTGGATCAGAAAATACAAACTCAAATGTCAGACATGTCACGATCTGAGTGCTTGTGAAAACCCACAATAAGCTTAGTGCAATAAATGAATCCAGGAGGAAATAATTCTGATCGACTTAGCTACGGTCGATCTCACATTGTATTTTATATGTGTCAGCATCTTATGTATACCCATAAATGTCCCTGAATTAGTTTTTCTCCCTTGAACCATATGTCTTGCCTTGTCGCAAAGTTTTTTTCTATATGTGAGAAACTTCATTGTCTGTCACATGGGGGGTGGTGTATAATGTCCCATCTTTGGAGTCCTTGAAATCCAAGTCCTTACCTGGCACTTAATGCCTGCCAGGCTGCAGGTACACGTTTCTGGATCACAGAACACTCGGCAGTCACAGCCACAGTCCTCCCTCGATAGACGGATGGCGCGCAGCTCATGCTTTTCTTCCACATCAATCTTTTTCACCCCAGAGGCCCGCAGCAGTGCTCTCCGTTTTTTTGTTGGCAGGGGTTGTAGAAAGAAGTACTCATCTACCTCCGTGTTGTCTAAATCAATATCATCATCAGAAATGTCATCCACTGTAAGAGTGCTAGCTTCTTCAGATTCCACTGTGCCATTCTTGGTCATCTAGAAATACAAAGCAGCAAATAGACTTAGCATCGGCAGGGGCTCAACTCCCTACTTTTACACTTGATAAGAATAAAACTACTATAATTCTTTTAATGTTTACTTATTTTTGAGAGACAAAGAGTGCGAGCAGCAGAAGGGGCAGAGAGAGAGGGAGACACAGAATAAGAAGCAGGCTCCAGGCTCTGAGCTGTCAGCACAGAGCCCGAGGCAGGGTTCAAGCCCACGCACCATGAGATCATGACCTGAGCCGAAGTCGGACGCTTAACTGACCGAGCCACCCAGGTGCCCCAAGAATAAAACTAGCATAAAACATCATGTTCCCATAATCCATAAATGTTTGTGGGTCATATTATTTCCTTTTATTTTTCTCTTTAGAGAAGTCACAGGAAAGAAAAAGGAAGACATCCAAATGATAGGCTTTTAAATGTACTGGTAACAGAAGACTTAATTGGAACTCTTAACCTCTTAATGTAAGGAGCTATAGTTGTTAGAGTTTTTAGCCAGTGCGATGTGAAAAAGACCAAAGGTTACAGAGGCTCATCAGTGAAAGCTATCTTTAGACTCGGTTCGTGATGGACAGCTCTGATGGTGGAATAAATGTGTCCTTGTTCAGAGGTGATAGCATCTTAGTGGAAGCCACTGCCACCTAAATCAGCAAACGTGTCCTTGAAATAACGACTCTGTCTTTTGGGCGCCAGCAAAAGTTCCATGAACTAGGAAATAACACTGTGCTGCACTGTGCTATTGGGATTCCAAACATGGTCGCTCTACAGAACATTCCAAGAATGAGGGCTTGATATGAAGTCATCAGTCAGGTCAGCATGCTATCCAAAAGACAAGGAGCAGAGGGCAGTGACGGCAGGCTCTCGCCAACGGGCAACTGAAACAATAAACGTGGCCCTCAAAGGAGTTCATGTGAACCCATGCCCAAAGCAATACCTTCTGCATCATAGCTCATGTGGACAGCTATGTCTCCTATACCCATAACTATTCTGCTTCTATTAATATGTCCATTCTAAATGAATTTCATCCATCAGTAAACCCTGAATCAGTATTTCACTTCTCACTGTTATATCAGCACACTGAGATTCCTTCATAAAGAAGCACTTAGAGACGTTTTTCTCTGAATAGGAGCAAGAAACATATCCTGAGAAGCAGCACAGGAATAAATGTAGAAGTTCTGTAAGGGCTTATTCTAAATATAGAGGCTATTTTGATTCTTTAATTTTTAAATTTGTTACTTCATAAACTTCATTAATTGTAATCATCACCATGCTATTCTTTATCTTAACAACAGTTCATTTATTACACAGTTAAAATACTCTGGTGACATCAGACATCATTCTCTTGTCTTCATAGGAAAAAGTCCAACGTTTCGATAAAAATATTTATTATTGACCAAAAATCACAAACCGGAAAACTCTGAATACAATAAAACATTGGTTTGTGAGCATAATTCATTCCGGAAACATGCTTATAATACAAAGCACTTGATAACAAAGCGAACTTCAAGAACCATTGGCTCAGGTGTGGTCATGTGATGTTCAGCATCACGTACTATTCGTATTGCAAGACATGCCTCATTCATCAAGTTAAGATTTATTAAAAATGTCTGCTCGTCTTGCACAACATTTGTAGAACAAGTTACTCTAAAACAGGTAGAAGACTGGTCTTTGCCCTCAAGAGGAAACACCCCAGTAGCAAGTATGTATTAAAGTCTATTACAGTGGGTCTCTAAACTGCATTTTCAAAAGCCACTAATTATATTTTTCTGAATAATTCAGAGCTTAAATCTGTGTTCATGCAAAGATGGGCCTCCCCCTTTATTGGGTTTTGTTTCTCAGTGTGATCTGCAATGCATTTCCTTTGTTGGCATTTCTTTATGTATGTCTTGGTTAAGCTGTTTCCATGTTTCTGTAATGTTCTGTACTAGGATGCTACTCTGATTGATTGCTATTATCATTTTGGTTAATTCTTATTTGCTAACAGAAACAGCTTTCTTCTGTGAAGACCTGATTTTCTGGGAGATTCAAATGCGTAATTACCTAGCACATACTCAATCTTCTGTGTTAGGCAAAGCTGTATTAACAAACAGGAGGCATTACTTTTCCCATCTTGTCACCTTTGTGTCATTTAGATTTGTTTTCACTAATTCTTGGCCTATGTGAAACTTATCAAGATTTGACTCCACAGCCCATGGAGAACACCCAGGACTTGGTTAACATGACTCATTTAATATTTCCTTCCTATTTAATCTCTGTGTTCTTAAATTATGCTCCCTTGTGTAAGTGGTTAACATCAAAAAATAATGAAAACACTTTCATTTTATATCAACAGAGTTTGATTTTTTAAAAATATAAATGGCTGCTAACATATCAATGAAAACTGTTCAGGGAACATGAATTACCAGTTGGAATCTAAAAATTTTTAAAAATCAAACTATAGATGATGATTATTCCAAATAGAAGTGCTCTTAGAAATATGATCTGTGTCTCTTATTCCTATATATTTAAACTACAATAAAGAATTTCATTTCAAGATAAAAATCCAATTAAGAATCTAAAACCTCTGCACATAGAGCTACATACTGCTTTCACTTTTGTTGAGGAACCCACAGGGGCCCTAATCCAGATTTCAAAATATCATTTTTTTTATTAAAAATTTTTTTCTTAATGTTTATTTACTTTTCAGAGAGAGAAAGACAAAGTATGAGCAGGGGAGGGGCAGAGAGAGAGGGAGACACAGAATCCGAAGCAGGCTCCAGGCTCCGAGCTGTCAGCACAGAGCCGGACGTGGGGCTCGAACTCAAGGACCGTGAGATCATGACCTGAGTCAAAGCCGGACGTTTAACTGACTGAGCCACGCAGGCGTCCCTCAAAATATCATTTTAATGTTGAAGTGATCTGGCAAGGTTTTCTCCTCACCTCCCCACTATCATCTCTGCCATTTCTTTTCAAAATTTTTAATGTTTATTTATTTTTGAGAGAGAGAGGAAGAGAGACAGAGTGTGAGTGGGGGACGGGCAGAGAGAGAGGGAGACACAGAATCTGAAGCAGGCTCCAGATTCTGAGCTGTCAGCACAGAGCCCAATGTGGGGCTCGAACTCACAAACTGTAAGATCATGACCTGGGCCAAACTTGGATGCTTAACCAACTGAGCCAGCCAGGTGCCCATCTCTGCCATTTCTAATGAAGATTGGAAATACTCAAGTTCATCCTAGTCAGTTGCCTTCTCTCCCCTTCCTCACAGTTTCTGGTGTGGTATGTAGTCATTGAGAGATACTCTGCTTCCCCAGCCCCTCTTGCACTCTTATTCATTTGCTCCTTTAAAACCCAGGCCAAACCTACTGAGTTTAAATGCTCTTTAAAATTCATATATTACAGTGGCACTAGGGTGGCTCAACAGTTAAGTGACTGACTCTTGATTTCAGCTCAGGGCATGATGTCATGGTTAGTGAGGTTGGGCCCCATGTTGGGCGCATGTGAACAGCACAGAGCCTGCTTGGGATTCTCTCTCTTCCTCTCTCTCTGTCCCTCCCCCACTCGTGCTTGCTCACTCACTCTCTCTCTCAAAATGAATAAATAAACTTAAAAAAAAACGAGTAAGTTCTGGAGATATAATGTACAGCATGATGACTGTGGCTCACAAAACTGTGCTACACACTTGAAAGTTGCTGAGAGTACATTTGAAATGTTCTCATAATGAAAAAGAAATGGTAATTATGTGATATGATGGAAATATCAGTTAATGCTGGTTGAACAGCATTGTTCATTGAAACTATTGAACAACAATAGCTTCAAAGGTGTGAGATGGGACAGAGCATGGTCCTTTTATTGGCCTGCAAATTATCCAGATGAGCGAATTTGTACAGGATCACTTCCTGTCTTGGTCCATAAGCAAAGAAAAAAAGTAAATAAACTGTAGGCATCTAGAGAATAGCTCCTGTATTCTCCTGGCTTTGTCACTTTAGAGGTGATAAGTAAGACTTAACTCATGATTTGATTAAATGATCTTTACCTTGTTTTAGATTTATCCTACATTTGTGTGCATTTCTTTGTACGATATTAGAAGAATCTCAAGGCCAAGGACTTGGGTGTGTGAGTGTGTTTGCTTGCTTTGTTCCAAGAATGATAATTAAAATGAGACTTAAATCTTGAGTCACCATGTAACTTGTCCAGACTCATTCTACAGTTGTAAGGACTATAACTTTCTTTAAAGAGACAGAATTTAAACATATCAATTTTACAAAGCTGTCTGATTTGTACTGATAAATATGAACAAATAGTTCCCAAAGCCCAGTAGAGTAAAACCCTTGGCCATCTACATACACATACAGGATGGGATACATAACTGTCAGAATCAGTGGAATGATTCTCAGACTGCTTTAGGTCAAGTACAGGAAAAGGGGGGCTCAAGTGAAAGTCAGCATTCAATTCCCTACCTTTTTTTTTTGTCATGTCATGTAGTGAATGAATTCCACCATAAATTCCAGTGAGATGAAATTTTGGGTGGATTAAGTTCCTGAAAAAACTAATTCAACGCAAAGTGAATATGGAGAGGGAAATAGTACTGAAAATGTGGATTGACTAAAATGCTAAAAACAAAACAAAACCCCACAAAAATGAAAACACTTCCTTTTAGCAGTTAAAAGGTACTTTTAGTAAGAAAGAGTTATTACAAAGTTATTAACACATGTAAAAATGACAGTGTAAAGAAATAAGGTGAAAAAAAAAATTCAATTCCGTAAACACTGATTACTGCCTATTATAGTGATGATAATGATGTTGAGTATGACCAACACAACCATATAATGAAAACCAGTCATTGGGCTCCATACTTTATATAGATTATCTCACCTAATTTGTACAATTTTATGAAGTATTTTTTTTTAATAGTTGAGAAAGCTGAAGCCTTGAGAAGATAATTTGACAGAGTCTAGCTTATTAGTGATTGTATTGAGAATCAAACTCAGGTCTATTTGACCTCAAAGGAAAAGC